GTCGTCGTCCTCGTCGTCGTCGCGGTGCAGGGTGGCGCTGCTGTTGGCAGCATGAATCAAATTCTCACTAATTAGGTCGTCTACCGCTGTTGCATGCTTGTGTTTATCGAGTGATGACGGTGATATCATTGGAAACGCTGGGAGGGAGTGTCCAGACCAGAACGGATTATTTACATAAGTTGACGGACCTGTTACTAGCACTTTTCGTTGGAGGTCTTAAAGGAAGTACAAGTACACAGGCAACGCACTACATTGAAGGTTTTTTTGTTTTTTTTTTTNNCCGTATGGGTCTCGGGGTTCATAGCTCTAATTTGAGCCTGGTTGTGGGTTGTCTAATAAGATGTGCTACGCGGCGTTTCCACTGCTTATGGCATGTTCATTTTCCTCCTGTCTCAGCTGGTCTGAAGGTGACGTATCCAATCCCTTTGGTGCCTCGCTTGCATCTGATTCCCGGCACGGGGGTTCATGGTGAAGGTTCGAGGCTGTTTTCGTCTACACGCTTGGCGGGCAGTTTTTGCAGGTTGTGAGGATTCTAGGAACCAGCCAGCCTGTGTCGGTCCGTTTTTGTTTGAATTTTGTTGCTCGCATCGGGCCTCGGAGTTTGAGTCATAGGGTTTAGGATTCCACCCCGGGCCTGAACAGCAAAACCGAAATCCACACACCCGATCTAGACCCGACTTCTCAGCACCCATGGTCACTGCCAGAAGTCGAAGTCTGATGCCTGATGCCTTAATCCCCCAACTAGTCATAACCAGTCTCGCGCAGAAGCTCCCTCTGTTTGGGAAGATGCTTGATTTTTTATGCTCGTGTTCAGAGCTGAGCTAAGTCAGCTGAGTATGATACTGCCGATCGACAGTTCCTGCCATTTAGAGATGTGCCCTAAGCGATGCCTTGAAAACGAATCCTCTACAGAACTCTTGAAGCAACCCCTTGTAGAATCCATCAAAGGAGCCTTATCATAATTCCGAAGGTCAGAGGATACTTTTAAAGGACTGCAGAATGAGTCCATCAACCGTGTTTCGGTATGTGACTTAAGTACTGGTATTCTTGTCCTTTCCAAACCTTC